AAACCCTGCTCCGGACCCGTCTGCACCTCTCTTTGCTCAACTCTCGCGACTCCATCTCGCCCCCCCGAAACTTGCACCCTGTGCAGCCTGTCTGCGCCGCGCCCTTTCCCCATCCCTTCCACCACTCCCCCGCGCTTCGGCCTGGCGCGCACCGAAATGACGCCGATCGCCTTCGTGTCCTCCTTCGTGGGCGCCGGCCTCTCGCGCGCACGGCCCGGCGCCGTGAGCGCGCGGTCTCCGTCGCGCGCTCCGTCGCGCGCCCCGTCGCGCGCCCCGTCGCACCGGTGTCGCGCGCGCATGGCATCGCAGCCGGAGCCCGCCGCGGACTTGGCGTCCGTGCTGCGCGCGGCCAAGTCGCGCCGCGTGGTGGGCATTGTGGGCAAGGCGGCGAGCGACGCGGCGAAGACGAAGGCCGGGACGGAGGCGGCGCCGGCGCGGGGCGGCATTTTCGGCATGAAGGCGCAGGCGTACTGGGACAGCATCGGCGTGCTGCCGCTGGCCTTCGCGGGCTTCGGTGTCGTCGCCCTGGCCATCAAGATGCTCAAGGTTAAGGGCGGCGAGCTGCGCAGCGGCCCGTCGGGCGTGAACAAGGTCACCATTCCGAAGACCGCGATTACGACCGTGGAGGAGGAGGCGGAGCTGCATGTGTTTAAATGCGGGGGCTGTGGGTATGAGATGTATCCCGCGAGGGGGAGGGAATTCAAGTTCTTTCCAGACTCGTTTAAATGCCCGCTGTGCGGGACACCCAAGAGCGAGTTTTGGGATCTAAATGACCCAGATGATCCGAGGAATCAGGAGGAGGAGGAGGAGGAGGCCGATCAGGATGATGATGGTGGCGTTGTGGTCGGGAAGGATGAACCATCAGAGGGGGGAGGGGGCGCTAACATCGACCGCGCGGAGAGGGACTCGTCATAAGTAGATGTAAAGCACTACCGTGTGGGACTCTTGCACAGAGAACAGTTAACTAATAATGCAGTCTTTCTTTCCGTTGTTTTACTCATCTGCACATCTCTGCCTTGCACTTTATAACGTAGCCAGTACACGCAAGACATGACCGTGTACTCAAAGATCCTTCGTTTCATAGCCTCTGAATTGACGAGCCTTTCAACTGTGCCTGCCATGTGCACTTCATGCAACTGCGGCGAAATCCAGCCGACTCAGATTTGGGGCGAACAGCCGCATGGCTCAAAGTACTGTAGGAAGCTGCGGTACGGAAAGAAAGATCGCGCAATTGGGTTAATTTCTCACTTTTTTTGGGACTACGACAAAATTTGCTGGACGACGTCGGGAATTCCCCGTCATCCCTCTGTCCAGCCGCAACAAATTCTTCAGCTTCCATTCCTTAAGCCCCGTTAACATTGTAGAGACTGGCGCCCTTCGTCCTCAAGCCTTGCTGAACAATGGCCCAAGGTTCATCGCGTCTGTCACGACCTGTCGCTAAGGGCGGCCGCAGCAATCGGAAACATGGCTCAAAAATGAAGAAAGGAAGTAAGTCTCCCGCTCTCTCTACAGCCGTGTAACACGCACAGCACCATTTACAGATACAAGCACCTATCCTTGAAGCTAACCTTCTTTCGCTGCATGGGTCTCATATGCAATGTTTTCTCTGCGGTTGCATAGCGCTTATCCGAAAGCCGAAGAAGCAGAGCCTCGCGGCAGCTCACAACAAGAGCAAGGTAAGACACTTCGTCTCACAATTCCACTTTACTCTTGATGCTTTTGCGACATTTGATCGTGTTCTTTTTCTAACAAAATGCATCGACCACCCGTTTGTGAACGCCAATGTCGCATCTCGCAGAAACTCACCGCAGCAATTGGCCGAAATATTGAACGAGCGACCGGAAAGCGTCTTGCCCAGAATGGCGGAAACTTGTCTGTATTGAAAAAGGTGGCAAAGGCCGCGAAGAGCGGTGGTGATGAATCTTCTAAGACTGCGGAAGCACCGAAATTCAATACGAAGAAGCGGTTCCGGCTTACTTCCTGAGCTCGATCGGCTCAACTTGTGATATTCCACAATCATACCCCAAATTACGATTGTTCCAGTCTGAACATGTTCAGAAGGCCAGATGCCAGAATCACAGCGCATTTGTTTTAACGTGGACAGAGACAATGAGAAAGCAGTAATTTTGCTTCTATAGTAGTATTGCTACACTTTGTTACGTATTGTGAGCACCACGGGCAACAGAACCAACTTGAATGAAGAATGGCGCCCTGCACAATTTTCAATGAATGACAGGGAGGCGACGGCAGCAAATATTCGATATGTCGAAGGAGAGCTTCTCGTCTCCCGTTTTGCTGTGTATGCGTTCTGCACGAAGGCGAGGCTACTCGATTTATTTCCAGACTTGCGTTAACGCCATTACGACTGTTGACTTTGTATCTCTTTTATTCCCTTAGTAGCATCATCCTGCCCACTGAATGTTGATAGATTTGTAGCCCAACTTAGAGTTCAACTTCAACAAGTCTTTAAAAACGTTTGTGGGGTGAGACTGTTTCTTCATTTTGTAGAAGGCGTCATTACAAGGAAATGAATGCTGCCATCATAACGGCGACAAGAAAACGATGGGAGTAAAGCTAGAGATTCTTCCTTGGGTTGATTTTAGCAAAGTGTCCTCTGAGAAGTTACTGCTTTGAGAGGGAGAAACCACAGTATGCGAGGCACAGGCCAATCATTGGGGCTTAAACATTTTAAACGTCTCACGAATCTGCAAATGTTCATCACCGCATGCGCAGATTGAGTGAGAGTGGTTAGTGCGAGGAACGTTCTGAGACCACAATATGCGTCTCCATCGGCGTCCTTCCCACCACAGAAACATACTGTGGTATGTTCACTTGCAGTTAGCGTATGGTCGTGTTGGGACTCTTTCAGAAAAGGAGACAAGTATCCTTGAAGACCTCGACCGCGAATTACCGGGTTCTTGACGTCAGTCAGTCTATAGGACCCAATCGGACCCAATTGTATAGTACTAAATTTGCTAAGTTCACAAGCTAGAGTTCGGGCTCTTGCAAGTTTGCTCGAGCAGGCGCCACTCGCTGGCGCTTTGGAAATGAAAGGCAGTCCCAACGCGTACCATGGACAGTCTGATGGCTGTCTCCAGATCTGCAACACGGTAGACGGCAATTGCAGCCTTGCAGGTGTCATGGCCACGTCGACTGCCGCTCGACTTTCATCTCAGTGGTCAAGTCGCATACGATGTTGTCTGGAACATTTCTAATCAAAAAGTTAAGCTGTCAGGAAAGAAGACTTAGGTTTATTCGAGAGTGCTCAAAACCATAATATCAGAATTCAGCACCATCACTTCGAAGCCTCATCGCGAGTAGAATCGCTTCGAAGGCGCAACAGTAGTACATATTTAACCGCTACTTCTAACCAAGGGAAACACCTGACACTGAGATACTCCAATGGAAGCCCTTCGAAGAAACTGTGCACCTGTACACATTGCACGCTCAGACTGGTGACCTTCGGCTTCGACATGGGTGGAAACTGATGATCTTTTTCCGCTTTTCATGCTTATCTGCATGTTTGATTCGCGAAAGAGAACATTTGGCCCTTCTCACGTCACTGGCTGAGCTGCTAACGGCAGGATCGAGCTAGAGCAAAAAGAGAGGTCATATCACCTCCTTCATAGACACAGGAAGCTCGCAGAATCTGGAGAGGACAAAGACAGGGTCAATCAAAAGCAATCAGCCCAGAGTGCTTGCAATGAAAGCACGGCGATAACGGGCATTATACCAGCAAACATTGCTTTCATTCGTCTGTTCCTAATTGGAGTTTCATTGTTGAGTTATACTTGGCCATGAATACATCCTCTACACCCACGGATGTAATAGGAACCAGTGCTCCGGTAAATATATGATGAAGTCGTGCGCATTTGTCATCTTTGCTGCACAGAACTGTCCGTCGTGACATCCCTATGTTGCCAGTGCATGACGATTCACTTCGCCCTTTCCTTAACCCTCAACCAATACATGGAATAGACCTCTTCCATGTATGCGAAATTTGGATGTACAGTACCTGTTGACAGCTAAAAAGGGGGGCTGAGCGCGTAGGGGAGAGAGAAAAGCGAGATGTTTATTTCAAGAGGGGGGGGGTCGGTCCGGGTGTCCTTCTTGTTCTCCCCCATTGCGGTGTGTCGCGGCGCGCCCCTTTCTCTAATAGAGGGGCCGCCATCATCTTCCACTCCACAGGACCGCCGCCCTTCAAAGGGAGATTGTCCACGTGTACACCTGGTGTACACGCGAACCAACAAAATCACTTTTTTGAAGGCTTTGGTCCTGGGGCCACTCCTGGGTACTGTACCCCGTACAGTGACCCAAATCTCCCCCACACGACCCCCTCCCTAGCCCCACACCCGGGCAGGGGCAACATATATACTGACCGTTGGCCGGTCCTTTGCCTCTGGTCCTCGGCTTGAGTCAGGAAACCGGTGCTCGACCTTGACGATCCAATTGACACAATTTAGTGTCACCATCGACATGCTTCCCCAATTGCTCCACGTATACACGTGTACAGCTCTTCATCACTGTAAGCTTCCACCTCTATCATTAACCAACCCACCTTCTCTAATTTTCACACAACTAACTTCTGTATTCCTGCGTTTTTCTTGAAGAACCTGACACCCCGTCAGGTCCTAGTTGCCTCCAGTTTTAGAGATCACTGATTGCTTGTGTGGCAGTACTCAGGTGAGGTTTTAGTCCTCGAGTCTGCCCCTTGCAAGAAACCTGATCTAACGAGGATGACGAAAACCAAGCAGACGGTGCGCCGCAGTACTGCAGGAAAACCAAGCAGAGGCATTG